AGTAGTTGGAGGTTGTAAAATAGATAAGGACGGAAAGGTTAGGACGGTAACTTTTCATACGAATAATGGATCAGTTAGAAGGGATATACGTAAAGTCTATCTCCTAGAAGGTTCGAATTAGTTCCTTGTCATATCAATGTAGGCAGGCTGAGTAGGCGTACTGTTGTAAGACCTGCTCGTTTCTGCATTGTAGAATATTTTATAGAGTGAACCATGGCCATAGGCATCAAGGTAGCTTATGTTGTATGGAGGGATTTTGTGGGCCGGTGTAAGATGCATTTTGAATGTTTTGTGTGTGAAAATCCCTCCATGTATACACTTGCAGTTTGGTCCTATTGATTCATTTAGTTGTACATTGTTAGACTTTTTGATTAAATTTGAGTTGTTAATAATTGTATTTTTTATTATAGTTTTTTTTTACGCCTTCACCACGTTTCAGTGTTTCTCCACGAACTGCACTTGTGTTGTCTTATTTTATGCCTAATCTTGGCGGCAGCCATATTGGTTTGTTCCTCCTCTTGGCTGCGTTGCTTGTATTGACTGGAATTATGCATTTTCGATTGTGAATTGAGGCACTCTTCCAGAATCGGAAACACTCTGTGTTATAAAGCAACCAAATATTATCTTTTGAACGAATCTGTACGTGGTCTATCCAGACAGGATAGAATAGCATTTATTTGTTGTGATTGGTAATTTTCTTGCATCCTTTATCAACTTTCTTATTTATTGTTGTTAGGATAGTCGGAAAAAGAGACCAATAATTATCATGTTAAGTTCAATGGTGTCCTTGAACCTTAAATGTACATTTCTTATTGGTCGATGTTTATTTCACTTGTTAAATATTGTACAAATGTTGTTTCCTATTTTATGGTACGATGTGGTTTGTTTGCTTGGTATATAAATAGAGTATGTTTGAAATACAATGATTCATAACTCAGAGGCTGTGACTTGCGTTCTTCACTCAACTGGGCTGGGACGGACAGCGAAGCAGGGCCAATCAGGGCACTAGGTCGTCCATTACATGTTTTCCGTGTCACTGTCACAGATCGCGATCGATAGATACGCTGCTTATCAAACCCTGCAGTCACACACCCGTTACAACAATTGGCGACGGGGTAGAGAAAATTTTGAACCCTGTAATTGGACGAGATTCATCCTATTTATTTTGGCCAATCAGCGTTCAGATTGATCGTCAGCGTCCTTGGGAGTCATTGGTTGTTAATTGATTACAGTATTTCTCATTACTCTGCTGATTCAGAAAATGACTTTCCCCCCCGATCAATTGCAGATACTACTAGATCGTTACAGAGAGAGCCAGTTGAATGTTTTGGACTATATGCGCACGCGACTGCTAAATCTCCCGTGTTTCGGAGATGTGAAAGAGGTTGACGAATTAATTTCTCACCTGCATACTGAACTCGAGAATGACTGCAGGACATATGAAGAAGAAAACAAAAGCCTCTATGAATCCCTTATGATCAGTAGTGCAAACGAGGCAGTCGCTTATGGTCCGTCCAGCGATCAAGAATTGTCCAATTCAGAAACATGCCCTGTTGTGGGTTCAAATCCCACTGTGCCTGAAACATGTGAGGTATCCAGCTTACAAGAAGAACCTCTCGTGCCAGAAAATGTTTCCCGTGCATCAAATGATGGTCAGAAATCTAATATGAATTTCAAAGATGCTGTTTGTTTTAGTGACCTATTATCCAGTGATGGAATTCTGAAGAGGTCTGAAGAAAATGTTGCACAAAAATCAAACCTTAATGACCTCATGTCTGGTGTCGCTAATCCTCATCATCTACTCAGTTTTAGTGAACCCTCTACTCAATGCGCGAAATATGCTTTAAATAGAGTCAGACTAACTATTACTTGGGTATATGAGGACCCAACGTTATTTCGCGGGGGAGGACGGACGCAGAAAATTTTAAAACGCAGATATGAACTCCGGATCTTTCGAAAAAGGGGAGGTGTTAGGATAGTCGGAAAAAGAGACCAATAATTATCATGTTAAGTTCAATGGTGTCCTTGAACCTTAAATGTACATTTCTTATTGGTCGATGTTTATTTCACTTGTTAAATATTGTACAAATGTTGTTTCCTATTTTATGGTACGATGTGGTTTGTTTGCTTGGTATATAAATAGAGTATGTTTGAAATACAATGATTCATAACTCAGAGGCTGTGACTTGCGTTCTTCACTCAACTGGGCTGGGACGGACAGCGAAGCAGGGCCAATCAGGGCACTAGGTCGTCCATTACATGTTTTCCGTGTCACTGTCACAGATCGCGATCGATAGATACGCTGCTTATCAAACCCTGCAGTCACACACCCGTTACAACAATTGTAATTTAGATTTGATTAATTGAACAATTATTGGTTGGATATCTGGGTGGTCATATTTATTTAGGTAACAATGTACATTAAATTTATGATGAATTATAGAACCGTCATTTTACCCAATTACTTTGTTTTGATATCAAACAGGCAAGGGCGCGTATCTAACCCACCTAAACAGCTATTCTTCAGTCCAAACCTTAGTTTGGATCTTGCAGTCTTGCCCTTCCTTTCTTGAATTTTGTCCAGAGTTTCCCAAGAGATCCATTCCTCATGATGATGCTTCCTGCTGCCCAGAACCTTCTGACACGTTGAAGTTAATGCTTCATCGATTCCCCTCTAGTTGTTCCCCATAGTAGTTTCTTTTTTCTTTAGTAGATCCTTCAAGACTTGGAATCTGTTGTTGAGAGTTATCTTGAATCCGCCGAGTTTGCCAGTATGTGCAAGGAAGACTGTATTGAATCTGTAGCGTGGCGTCGAATTGAGATTAACTATGAACACCGCTACCAAGAAACACGTGCCAAGCGAATCAGAAGGCGAGGGTTGGACGTAACCAAATAGATCCATAAAATCCGCGAGAAGCCAAATACCAGAAGGCAATTAATGGACCAAGTCGATGTTTATTTGCTGGCGATCTCGTGGCATCGAAAGGATACCGAGATCGTGCCAGGATACAAGCTTGGTTACAGAACGTAACCGAATTCGCGCGAAGTTACAATCAAAGTGTAAGTATAAGAATGGAAGCACAAAGTAGCTGTCATTAGCACAGTCAAACAAAAGCACGTTAAAACAAACACTGGTACAGTTGGTTATAATAATAATTGTTTTTATTAAACCAGTCGTGTTCTCGTGATAAACGTGAGTCACTACAAACCTTTACAAGGCTGTTCCCTCAGTTGTCCAGTGTTTCTTTAGCTTCAATTCCGTGTTGGGCACAACCAGATGTGATTTGTAGTTAATATCAGCTCCTCTCTTAGTTCCCACCTCTTCTACTGACTTTCTGAACTTTTATTGGTGCAAATATGATCAATCTGGTTCTGTGTAGTGTGATCAGGTGAAACCTATGTAGCTTTGTGTTTGTGTGTGTGAGAATATTGTGCCGTTTATAACCATTTTGTTGAGCGCACACAAATTTGTGAATCTGTCAATATTCTCGTTCCTTTCTTCCAGTCGATCTTTGTCGTCTCATGGTATCTTCATATCCACTTTCGTTCATTCCAACTTTGGCGTTTAAGTTTTCCATCAGAATGGTTAGGTCCTTTCCTGAGCATTTCTCTATGATCGATTTCAGCCTCTTGCAGAACTGACCTTCATCGTCCTCACTGGTATAACTGGTGGGTACGAACATTGTATCACATTCATTGTGATCCCCTCCTTCTTTGTTTTGAAGGATGTTATGATGATCCTGGATCCATGAGATTCCTACCCAACAAGTGCATTTCGTGCCTTATTAGACAGAATAAGAGCAACTCCCTGAGTATGTGGCGCATTTTCTCCTTCGTGATCAGGGTACAGCATCTCTCCCGAATTCAATCTTATCTGTATAGCTCGTATCCAGCGAGTTTAGCTTATTCCAAGCACTGTCAAATTGTTCCTACTCATTTCCTTAACTACTTGACTGGCCCTCCTGATCTCACACATTGTCCGGACATTCCGTGTGTGTATGCTGATTGTTGCTCTGTTTGTTAGAAGGAATATCAACCTCGTTACTTCTGAAGAATTTCAGTTATTACCATGAGACGACGTAACTCTTCTAAATATAAATCCTTCAACTCCGAAGGCAGAGTCTAAATGGTTTAAAATTCTTATTCTGATTATCGTTTTTCACAACATTGTTTTCTACTGGGTGGGATTGCTGACTTCTTGAACAACTATTATCCTTAACCCGGAATTGAAGCCCTCAGTAAGTCTATAAGACCTACAGGCGCAGCTGAAAAAAGTGGTGGCAGAAAAAAGTAAATATGGGTGTCACAGGGTTATGCTTATGCAAGCTAAAGCAGGCGAACTGTGCTCAAAAGAATATTAGTATATTTGGAGTTACACACTACAGGACGGCAAAAATTCAATGTAAGCACACTCTTCACCGGTTCATTGATCAGCCTTTTGTCAAACTGATTGGATCCTCCTTCTAGCCGGATTCTAGTACTTATTAGCTCATAAGGGGTAATCTTTTCGCCAGAAACAAGTGGGATTTCTTCAACAACACAGACAATTGATCACACTATACGGTGTTTTGGAATCAAAAATCAGTTAATACAGAGTAATCTACAAGTCTCATATGACGAGCGATACGGAAATCAGTAACGATTTTTCAGTTAGCCTAGTGGAAAAAGGGTACGCTTCTCAGCTATTATTCTGCAGTGATTTTCCTTAACAACAATATTTGGCCTCCATAGTGAGGTTATCAGACTAAAACTAAATAATCCTTATCTGAATACTCCGACTCTGATAAGTCTCTACCTACCCAATCCATTGCTACGGATATTTAAACAACATGGAGATTGAACCCCTCAAATATCATTGCAGTTCAGAGATGGTTAAATTCTCCTGGCTCGATGGTATCCGATCCGAATTCCTGAATTACTGTGTCAATTTTCTTTACTTCCTTAATGATACACTTTCCAACTGACTGTTAGCGAAAAGTAGGTTATCCTCTGGTTAAAAAATGGGTGTCGCTATGCTAGTACATAAAGAAGGGTTATAAGACAAAATCCTAAAATTACCAACTGATTACGTTGTTCTTGGTGGTTTTTCATTCACCTTGTGTCTTTTGAGAGATTCTAGCATCATGCTTTCCACCATTCAAAGTGACTTGGTAATCACTTATTGGTATACTCTTAACGGTTCTGCACATTGACGTCCTGAGACCAGTTAAGCATACTTAGTTTTGAAGTTTACTTATGAGACATTAAGCAGCCTTTTAGAAGCTTAGGCTAGGTGACTAAGAGCTAGCCGATAGCCTCCTATTAGGATTAAAATATCAGACTCAAAGTATTTACTTCTGTAGTGACTTACTTTTATCACGAGAACACAATTGATTTAATGAAAACAATTATTATTATAATCAGTTGCACCTGTGCTTGTTCTAAAGTGCTTTTGTTTAACTGTGCTAATGACAGACGTTTTGTGCTACCATTACTCTCCATTACTGTTTCGCGGTTCGTGACCTACTTCGCACGTACTTTCTCCTGCCGATTCCGCTTGCACCTTTCGTTGGCACGATCTCGGTATTCGTTCGATACCACGAGACCGCCAACGAATAAATCTGGTTACGTTCAATCTTCGCCTTCTGATTTATCTGGCATGTGTTTCTTTGAGGTGGTGTTCATAGTCAACCGGGACTTGACACCATGCTACACTTCCTTATGTTGTGTATTAAATACATATCCTACTTTTTCGTAATGGACGGTTCCAATTAATTGTTTCTTGCTCTAACTGCTCCCCGTTGTTATGTAATGACACTGGTCACCAACGTCTTAAATTACTCTTGTTCACTGGTAAACGAGGGGCAAATGTAAGTCTCGCAACTTCACCTCAGAATTGTTCAAAAACATGTTCATCTTAAACCTAATCAGGAAAAAATCCTGGACTACGTCCCCCTACAATAAGAAGGATTTTGTTCTCTTGGGAAGCATTAAAAGAAGGTACTCGAACTAAGAATGCATAATACCCATCCATCTTGGAAGCCATCAGTTTACAGTCAGTGTAGTATAGAATGATAAGTAGGTAACTTATCATGCGATACCATATCGTTCACGATTATGCCCACTCTGTTAGAACTTCGGCAAGATCCAGTGATTTATTACACTCATGAGGGCATCCGCTAATGAAAAACTGTGGTGTTTGAATTAACTAATGATTCTTTTGTAATTGTTGAATGCTCAATTTCGAATTCTAAACACAATACATTCGTTCGTGCTTGTGTCGTAATTCTTGATTCTGGAACTCTTAGTTCGTACGATAATTCAAATACTTTTCAGATATTATAAAAACACGAATGGGTTTGAATAAAAGTTTGCACAAGTTTTTCACCGTTTCAAAAAATAAGTCACGGAACTGACTACAAGGGATTGAAACGATGGAAGTTTTTGACAAATCTTTGAAAATAAGGCTCGAAGATTACTTTAGTTCTGTGAGTTTTGAGGGAGATCACACTACATTTTATATTTCTATCACTGTTAATGATTACTGATTTATTTCGCCCTTCAAGTTACGGAGTGAATGTGAAAAGTTCGAATTATCCCTTTATTAGATTCCACGAATCTCACTTCTGGTATTGTGATATCTGATGGTTCCAGAAACCCAACTGTTCTGAGGCAAACATACTCACTGAAAATACAAGATACGCGAGCTCACAAATAACTTTAAAATTGACGGGAACTAGTGTAGTCAAATAGCCACAAGGTACAATCCTAGGTCCTCTTCTCTTTTTACTTTATGTAAATGAATTGCCAACTGTAGTAAAATCATCCGTTCTACTCTTTGCTGTTGACATAAATATTTGGAGACCCATACATAGTATGTCGCATAGAATAGTATTACAGGATGATCTTAGCTCATTGGTGGTATGGCTAGACAGATGGTCACTAGAAGTAAATCTAATAAAAGTGTAGTGATGCAGTTAAATAACTCTGATGAATCGTATCACTATACACTACACGGATTCGTGCTACCCAAAGTAAGAAACTATAAAGATTTAGGAGTCATATTAAGCAATGATCTCAAAACCACCAGTCACTGTAAGGCTGCTGCTGCGAAAGGCTATAGGGTATTATGGTCAATTCGTAGGTCTTTCCAGTATTTAGATGATGAAATGTTTAGATTACTATACCCGATTTATGTGCGACCACATTTAGAATACGGGATTCAAGCAGCGTGTCCTTGTTTCAAGTATGAAGCAGATATGCTAGAAAGAGTCCAACGACGAGGTACTAAGATAGTGCAATGTCTATCTGGTCTATCTTATGAAGACAGACCGAGACACCTCAACTTATTTCTGTTATCTTACCGTAGAGTACGGGGTGATCTAATAGTCTTATAGCATGCTGAACGATGACCTATGTATTAACATATCTTATCTTTTACTTCTGTCTAGGGCTGATCAGTTGAGGGGAAATTCGAAGAAAGTTCAAAAACCGAGACCCAATCGTTTACCTCTGGAGTTTCGTTTCTCGCAACGAGTAGTGAATTACTGAAATTCTCTACCGGAACACGTAATATCAGCACCTTCTGTTGATATATTCAAAACGAGCTTGAACATCCACAGTATTACAAACTGTAAGGATTAATATAGGTCGATAGATCTCCTATCCTTATTACTGAAGACTGAGAGCGAATTATTCAATCGATTCACATAAAATCGTTACAAAAATAGATGATAATGAATAACCCTCCATCGCGATTTCCACTCTTATACTACTACTACTACCGGGGTAAAAATCTTGAAAAATTTAGGTTCATCAACTCTGTCTAACAAACCTTCAAGTTCATTATTTGATTTGTTTTAATCAGTCATTTCGAAGGTCGAGCAAGGTCTCATACGTAAGGTGTATTTTTTGGGTTTCTGACTTTTACTCGCAAAGTTAGTTACATGCGTTTTTTTTGTTAATAATACTGATGTTCAACTTTCACTGAGCCAAACTTATGATTATACAGAACTAATTGTGGTCATGACTTATTATTACATTTTATTTGCATAACTTGATTTTTCGTTAGATTTATACTCCTTTCCAATAATCGGTATTTTGTTTACCTACATGTTATATATTGGTTAATCGTTGGCGGATTTTTTGTTTCAGTTTGATAAAATTGTTATCTTTGGTGATTGTCATAAGGAAATTGTTGATTATGTTATAAATTATCGGACATACGTTGGGCCATTGAAAGCAATCTGGGGAAATTTGAGTGGTGAAGACATATGGTAAGTATTCATTACTTGGTATTTGATTTACGTAGTTAGTTATTGTAATTTCATGAGATAAGTATTTTTATCATTGACCTTTAAAACACGTGTACAATTGTGAATAACCTTGTTTAACAGTGCATTCCTTCATTATTTATTCATTTCATTCCCATAAAACATGGTACAACTGGGTATAAAAAGTAGCATACACCATAGAATTCATAATTTTTATGTGTACACTGGGACACTTCTTAGGCCCCAAACTGAAACTAGTGATTTTCTTAGTGCTATGTTTGAAGAGATTACGAGATCACCTAAGTCGGCGAACGGAACGAAGGCTCAGCGACACATTGGCAAGATAAGCTAACTATTCCGATGCGTCCCAGACCAACTAACTAGAGGTAAAAGTCCAGGTTCAGATGAGGGAAAGTATATTCCACAACTCAAACGTATATATACAGCATAAAAATGTCTTTGGGAAACGTCACAAAATAACATACTAAAAGAGACAACGAACCAATGACATCTAGGATCCTTCCAAATGGGAAAAATAATCTGAAGGTAAGAATGAGCGCTTCTGGCGTGAAAATAAGAAATTCGAATTTCCAAAATTACAAAATCTTGACATTTACCAAGTGAGTTCTGGGGATCTAACAGGTTGTCGAGCTTTTGACCCAAAGATTTAACCCGAAAGGTAATGGTGCGACATCAAGCGTTACCGTTCCGTGGTATCCGAGGATCATGATAAGTTAGTATATTATTCGTCCCGTCATAATCATGGGACTCGTGTAAACTATTTGTTTGGAATCAGGGTTTGTTAACTTCTCTAGATGAATCCTATGTATCCAGCCTAATACTTCAAGCTCAGACGTTTTATTTTTTACCTCACTTTGGCGAGGAACATCCCTTACACATGTAGGTAGTGAGTGGGACATTTGTGTCAGATACTATAAATGTGTGACCATGTGGAGATGATCTTCAGAGGGGGAGTGGGATCTCTCCACCGTCAAATTTATCAGGGCATTTGGATGCTATCACCAAGAATTAAAATAGGTCGAAATGTACAAATGTAGTGGAGGTAAACTGAATATGAATAGTAATATGCTTAAAATCAACTGAAATGATAATGTATGAAAACATTTAAATCATTGTCATAGATTTTCGATCCCCTTTACCTAGGATATTTAACAAGTGGTTTTACTTATCAAGTCCTAATTCACAGCACCTTCTTGCCCATGTCCTGTTTCCGAATTACTCTTCTGTTTATCAGCATCCTGTTTTTTATTTTAGTCAGTATCTCAGTACAGACAAAACGTCTCACTCATATGAGTTAATGCTGGTTCACATCCTCATCGAGAATCGGTTTTCTCTTCGCGTCTAGTTTTACTGTTACGTTGTTATATTGGTTCTACTGATTGCGAACAATGTCTGAAGGAGTCCTCTTATCTAATAGCTATAAAGTTTTAATATCCTTTAGTTATGGTGATCATTTTTGTTGTGGTTGAGCGCATATTGAACCGTTGTTTAATAAGCTTAACTTTAACTAGTCATTCGATTTTTGACACTCCTTAATTTGGTGAAATGTTCTTGTCTCAAGCTTTAATAACAACAAATACACCTGAAACTGTCTAGTTTTCCATTATTGTAACAAAATCTAATGCATTTTTAACTGCTTGAATGAATTTTCCAGGATGTTTAGCTTGTGCAGAATACCATCACATATAAATAACGGGCTAATTTGATCCATCCATAAACAAATATGTGTCCGAAGTACTTAATGTTTACACATAAATAAAACGTTTCACTATTGATAATTATTTGATTACTGAAAACATCTTATCTACTTACTTAGTCCTGTTACCCCTTGTAGAGCATAGGCTACCGATCAGGATTCTCCAACCCACTGTTGCGGGCTCTCCTTTTCAGTTGTTTCCAAGTGTTAATCATTACTTCGATGTCTGCCTCCAATTTCTGGTACAGGGTGTTCTTATTATTTTGCCTTGAGGATTTTAAGTTAAGGGTTGCTTTGTAATGCAACTTCATGATTTCAGCAATGAAGCCATATGGTGGCCGTTAAAGGGAACTCGGCTGGGACTCGCTTATTTAACCCAACTTAAATAAATAACAATACGTTTTCCTAGAAGTTCAACACTCCAACGCTTTATTGGCAAATTGAATTAATACTTATTCTTCTATAGTATTGATTTTATTTTCGTTGAATGTCACTGTCTTAGATACTACTCATGGTTTTATTCAACAAATAGTGTACACAGACTGTTATCTAGACGATAAGTTTTGTCAAATGAACGCTCCATTCGACTTTCTGACCGCTTATAATAACCTTAAACTAAAGCTACACGGCAACTTGAACACAAGAGAGAGGGTGCGAAGACTTGTGATAAATATTTATTTGAATCCTAGAATAAATCAAAATGATCTGGGAATACACCACCTTTTATAAGATTTATTTATAGTTAGATTAACAATCAAATTTGTTTGAATTAAACTGAATTATATTTAACAATAATAATTTGATAGCTTACTGTGTGAACATATATTTGCAATATTATACAATTAAGGATCTACGATCCTTCCTAATATATTAAATACGATTGGAAAAAATTCAGTTCCATATGTCTTTCTCATTTCAATTAACAGTGGAAACCAAGACACGCGTTTCGTCTTATCTGGGACTCGTCAGCTGGATGTACCTGCATCCCAGAGTTAATGTTCACTCTGGAACTCCAACCATGTACCATTCATTTCAAACGTCATCCCGTTATCCACTTAGCTATCAGGACTCAGTAGCTGAATGGAAGAGTCCTAAATAGGATGAAACAGGCGTTGTACATTCCACTGCTAGCCACTATCCATATTTGCCCATAATGTTTGTAATTTAAAGTAATATTCAGGCAATCCACTCAGGATGAACCTATACCAATAAGAGATTGATCAATTACTATCCTAAACATCAATGGGAAGATACAACACAAACAATACAAAATAAGCTATTACTCTCTGTATCATTAGGTTTTATGACTAAATGGATTAAGCAAACTGAATGTATTGAGTACAATACGAGGTAAATTTAATATAGTCTAAAATTTCATGAACTTATATTTACGACAAAGTTGTCTCTTTCACTTGCTATAATAACACTAGTGTGAATAAATGATATGAATCAGTTTGTAATTTTTGTCTTGTTTTTATTTATTTATTTTTAAAAAGGCCAAAATCATGTAGTAAAGATGGTTGGATTGAATTCAAAGGGTGTACAGATCAAATTCTACGTTATATTGCTGAACCAAATGAAGATAAATTACTTGAACGTATTGAGAAAATGGATGAAATCTATGGATTAAATAAGAATATTTCACATCACTTTAATTTAAAAACAAAAATACAAGAAGATCATGATAATAGTATATTATCGAAACGTGATTATTTTAGATCAGGGTAAGTATTTTTTTACTTTTAAAATAATTTGATCTAAAGTTTATATGATCGTTTGGAGATAGATCATTTTTTCATGACACAGAATCATTTGAGTGATGCAAAAACAAGCTTTTTTTGTCGATGTTCTGAATTTTTCATTGATGTGAACCTATAAAACTTTACAACGATCAAAAGTAAATTCACGTGGATTGTTTGAAAGAATCAAGTTACTATAGTGCTCATGTTCTATTGTTCTAAGTATTTTGACTTTTGTAGCGTGATTCAGTCTCCTGAGATCAATACGGAACAGGTCCTCATATTTGTTAAAATATGAGTCAAAAGTAATGTGAGCTAGGCTATCAAACTAAAAATTCATAAATGTCATTAATGACAGAATTAGTATTTGTTATTTGCGCCTCATTAGATATGGGGTTTTTCTAGGGTATACATGTCTGCATGAGAGCTTCCATGATTTTTATTTGAGACTATGCAAGTCGTTTCTCCTAGAGCTCCAAGTAAGTTTCTAATTGTTCAAAGGTAGTGTTCAGTGTGAGTTTCTCATAGTCAATTATTAATTCTTGCTACCGATACATTTAAACTGCTTTCCTACCAGGTTCTGATATCCCCAACTGCTTCTGCACGTCAATTGGAAAACTAGAAAGAATACGCAAAATGCGAATAATGCTTTACTCCAAGATTGACTTATATTCAGAAAAATGGGTATTCATAGTATTACACTTGATCTCGGGCTTCTGGAAATTTCTGGGACCATATTAAGTATAGTAGCAGTACAAGTAAATATCCAAATCAAAACTATGACGCTTGATTCTATGTTTTCTAGATGTTTATAAGAAGAATATAAAGTTTCTTGACATCTCTGGGCCTTCAGGGACTTGACGAGAGATATTTTTGGGACTCCTTCAACATATGACAATTTAGACTCTATCAATCTTATTCCGATATCTAACGAATCAATATTAGTATTTCGAAAAAACTCAACTCTACCTAAATAAATTGTTTTTTAGGCACGTATCTTTTCGTTAAACGGTACAAGGGTATCCTACCTAATAATGAGTTACTGATCTTCGTATCTTTGCAATTGAGCTGTGTATGTAATACTTAGAAGTATTTGTTTCATTCGGCTTTGTAAAACCCTCTCTTGATCTATTTGAACTGTTGACGATTTCTTTTCGACAACCTTTATTATGTTTACCTCAGTGTAAACTTAGTTTTGGAGTTGCATTAATGCATTACCTACTGTCGAATGTAATACTTTTCCAAAAAAGAACACTTATATTGTTTACTGTCTCTCTGTCTTCAAGAATTCATCAATGTATCTCATTTTTCCATTGTTATTATTTAGATGGAAATGTTGTCAGTTGTTTATTTCATCTACATTTCGTGATATGCACGCTGAACGTGATCTATTATGTGGTATACTTGTACCTGCTTTACGTAGAAATGTTGCATTAGGTTTACGTGTACATTTAAATGAAATCGATTTACGTTGGGGTGTTCCTGAACCAGCTACATACAATTCACAAGCACTACAGATATGTTTAGAACAAGCGGCTGCTAGTGATATTTTTGTTCTGTTATTGGGCGATCGGTAATACTGTTGTGTTCTTTTTTGTCATATTTTTTGTATAACTATTAAATAATTCATTTTTTGTATTTGTTATTTGAATCTTCCCATTCATGTTTAGAACTGTGAATGATCAGTCTCTTATTGGCATATGTACATCCTGTGCAGATTGCCTCGACATTGCCTAAGTGGATAACGCGTTGGCTTTTGAGGCGAGTGGTACTGGGTTCGAGTCTCAGAGTGAACATCAACTCTGGCATACAGATATATCCAGATGGCGAGTCTTAAATAAGACGAAACGCATGTTGTGCATTCCACTGCTAGCCACCGTCCATATTTGTTTATAACTAATAAATATTTTATTGTAATTAGAAAATGATCTAAGTTTGACAACTACTGAAAACTTGAGAGCACTACAAGGTCATTCCATTCTAGCATGAGACTTTCCAGTAGTGGGCAACTACGACCCCCAACTGAGAACCGAACTCAGGGCCATCGGTCTCACTCAAAAACGCTTGACACATCTAAACTGCTGGCCCAGTATCAAGTGGTTTATTAAATATTTATGAAATATTCATTGATCTTTTCTAATGAATGTTAATCATAGCTAATACGTTTGTCAACTCTTTATATATTGAAGCCTATGGTTTTATAGTTTAACAATATTAGTGATATATGATTGATTAGTTATTATATTCGATACCGAAATATCATGAAACATATTCACAGTCATTTCTGTCAGATATGTTTTCGTAACTCGTGACTGTAGTTGATGCCTCAGAAATCGTTCTATGTGATAACTAAAAAAGAGTAACTCATGTAGTTGCCTTCAGTGTTGTTTACCAGAATATGAGTTATATTTGCTTTGCAATAGTGGTATATATATATTTGACAACTCACTTAACAGTTTATATTAGATATTATTTATAGATGTCAGGACATATTAGTTCATTGCTAACAAGTTGTATTGATGATTATATTTTGATCATCCTTTTAGAAAGTTATGGGAATTTTGAGAGATTAGTTGAATAGAATATTTCGAATGCCATTCAGAGATGTACTCTGTTGTCTTGACTAGATTTTAACTCTACATGAACTCATACTTTTCTTCATTTTATTTTCCAGTTATGGTTGTATACCAGACGAAGCTGTAGTTATGTCATTACCTGAATCATTATTATCTGAAGTGTGTAAATTTTATAAACCTGGAATGTCTATGACTGAAATGGAGTATCATATGGCTAGACAAGCCGCCATATCTAAAGTCCCTATTCATGAAAGACGACAGCAGAATACAATAAGTTTTCATGAGGCAATACGTCTTCGAATTTGTGTTTTCATTAGAGATTCAGCATCTATAGAGTAAGTCCTGGTTTTACATGTCGTTTTGACTAATTCGCATAAGTTGATGGCGATGATGTGTTTTTTTTCCTTAAAAAATATAGGTTCATTATTTTGCATTCCATACAAGTTTCATACTTTAACATCAGATAACTGTTGAATACAGTACATGAACGAAGACCATATATTTCAACAGTTAATTGGTTCTGAAGTTCGTTTTTTCCATATCAGAAAAATGAAGTAATTGCCGATAAGATCATGATGAATCTATTTAAGAATGTATTTTAAATATAACATATAAAATATACAATCCAATATTTTCCTATCTTCATGATATGATAGGAAGAAAAGTCGAAATTAGATTGATTTACTCATTATGATTTTTGTTTCAACATTATTTCCGTTTTAATTAAATGTGCTGATTATTCAGTATAGTATTCGGTTTTGTTTTCCCGTATGACCTTTTTATTCTGTATAACATACGATATTCTTGTATTCGATTGACATAAACTATACTCAGTATATAATTTGTTATAACAGTAAGTATTTTTCATGTATGTGATTTCATCCTAATTATTAGTCAAAATGGGTGTACAACCAACATATAGATGAGTGTATTTCCGATTAGACTTGTCGTGGTTGTTCGTGGTTCTGGCTGTTTGTGGAACACATTTCCATCTTCGAACGTGGACTTCTGTCTCTAGTTAGCGGGGCTGTGTCGCTTATTGGTCATTTTGTGACAGAGTCTTCGTTCCGTTTTCACATTAGGTGAATTCGTAATTTCTTCAAATATAGAACTTGAAGAGCATTTGACATATCTGGTCAATTTCACCTGTATATTCCTGAACCTACTGATATTTCAAAGATAATTATGTAGAAACATTGTTTTAAACTGATATATTTACGAATTTCTATTTTTAGAAATGTACCAGATGAATTGAAAGATTGTTTTGAAGAGTATGATGTTGAAAAACGTAATCGTCTTAACGCCTTCAAAGAATTAATTCGTAATGATGGTGTTATTGTTAGTCATAAGTAAGTCAATCTATTGCATTCACTAATGTGTTTAAGTAGGTGGCTTATTAGATTAAATGCTTTGTTTTCAACTTATTGATTGGAAGTTTGAACTCTACCTAATCCAGTTTAGAATCCCTTTTTTATAGCTCTTGTACTAAATGCTTACCTAAAAGCTTAATACATAAAAAATTACGATGAACTGGTATTACATCTTTGCCTATCAATTCACTCTCATAATTACTATCGCTCATTCTGTAATTCTATTAACAGGTATTTGCACTTTACCAAAGTCTTTTATTTTTAAAAATTATGTTCTACACATAAATCAATCTAGAGTGTATTTCTGTGAAAGGAATAACAACAAAAAGACGTGAATTAGGTATCAATGCCAAGGTAGGACTTGATGGTTTCAAATAAATTGAGCATTGGTTAGAGAGTTAATACTAAATAAATTTTATTTTGTTATATTCCAATAAGTAGAAAAATTGTATTTCTGACGTTTCGTAACTTAACATAAGCCAATTCTTCAGAGTAAATGAATGATCGAAATTAAATTAACACAAGTTTAAATAGTACAAAGGAAACAACCGTGACAACTATGAATTTATGAACATAGATTTCTTATCCATTGCCATTAGTTAGTTAAAGAAAATTTATATTACTCGTGTATCTTGTAGTGTTCGAATCCGCACCATCCAATGACACAGAAATGTTATCCACTGAGCTACAATCAACTACCTGTGTGTGTGAGATATCTGTATTAGTTTATCATTAATTCATAACCACTGTCATGTTATTTAGTCCTTAGTACCGAACATAATCTTTTGTCCAAGCTACAATTTAGTTAATTCGAAGAAAATTTTTATTTAGTAATCCTTTATTTTAAACATTCATTGTCTAACTATAGTAGACCGACTTGAATGGTTTGTTTTTCTCAGTTTACCTCAGTTTAACTTATTTTCATTATCTTTATATTTTCTATTACTGAGAATTACTTGTTATTCGTGTGTATTTCACGATTTAGTTATTCAGCTCAATTCAATGGTTTAATAAATAATTATCCAATAATGGGAAATTTAGATGAATTCGGAAGTCAATTTTTTGCAACAGTTAAATCTTTACTTCTACGTTTATTTCATAATGATAGTGATAATACTCCAGTAAGTTTCTGTTTTATTATAATCGATAAAACTGATTGTAAGATATTATTATTATTATTATTATTATTATTATTATTATTATTATTATTATTATGTAGTGGTATCAATTATACACATAAGTATGTTATCCCATCCACCAGATTTGCATGTGGTAATGGTGTTTATTATGTATTGATACATTAATACAACTGAATAATGAGATGAACCATATATCATCTATGGTTTGTAACTCTTGGGGATGCTAGATCCTTGGAATTCACTTGGTAAACGTTAAGATTTTGTAATTTTGGAAATTCGAATTTCTCATTTTCGCGCCAGAAGCGCTCATTCTTACCTTCAAATTATTTTTCCCATTTGGAAGGATCCTAAATGTCATTGGTTCGTTGTCTCTTTTAGTATGTTATTTTGTGACGTTTCCCAAAGACATTTTTATGCTGTATATATACGCTTGAGTTGTGGAATATACTTTCCCTCATCTGAACCTGGATTTTTACCTCTAGTTCGTTGGTCTGGAACGCATCGGAATAGTTAGCTTATCTTGCCAATGTGTCGCTGAGCCTTCGTTCCGTTTGCCGATTTAGGTGATCTCGTAATCTCTCCAAACGTAGCACTAACTATAGATTGAAATTATTTTATGAATATCAAACTGAACGCTTCCATCTGATGACACAACCGGTTTCAACAGTGATTAACTTGATATATATGTACTAATGTTATGGTTTCGTTTAGTCAGTACTAGTTTTCTTTTAAACTATATATATTCACTTACTGTCGAATTAATAATCCATTTAAATACCCTCACTTTGTTCATATGGACTCAAACTAACGGGAAGCAAACGGATTTTTGTTGATATCAAACTTTCCAAGTCCTATATATGTGTATGAGTTTGTGCCTTTCAATATTTTTTAAATCACATGGTATATTAGTTAAATTTGGCTCTTATTTCTCAATAAACATTTTTTATTTCTCATTTTATTATATATTTTTTCAGGTATATAATAATGATAATAATTTGCTTATAACTGTTAATAAGTCATTGAATACTATTGAATTCTTACGAGAATATGTTTATTCAGCTGCATGTGCAATTGGACCACGTCATCTACTGGAAGTAGAACAAGCTTTTAATGCATTAACTGAACGTGGTCATCGAGTTCATCTGGCTCGTGCAATTCAATCAACTGAAAAGAAATTAAGTGTACAAAACAATTCAAACTATTCAACAAACCTTCAAGGTAATAATTTTTTTTCTAAAAAAGAAACCCATCAAACGAAATGATTTTGAATTTGATTATTTGGTACTTAAAATCTGACTGGTCAATTTAAAGTGATTTTTCTCGAGGTTGATGAAGGCCTTAAGGATACTTGAAGTTTTCGATAATAGCCACCTAAATACTCTGTTACCGACGAGAGTGGGGAGAGTCAGCCCTCTCTCTCAAAATGATCTCACACGGCGACGCGTATACAGTCTGTGCTAGGGAAGTCCTACTCACTGACTTACCATGGTGGGGGTGTTGCTTATGAAATTGAAAGGATGAAAAGCGAGTGTCCGGTGTTTTAACTGGTTTGGCGTATATGGAAAACCCTGATTTCAAACCAGTGGTGCAGATGAGCTTCAGTATCCTGAGGGAAGAACTGGACCTATTATTGGTCACCCGCTGCCATGGGACTGCATCTCCTAAAGTTGCTTTGTGAAGTAGACCTTCAGCCGAAAGCCTTGAGGAGCTTCCTGTTACGAAAACTACGTGTTTCAGTTTGCGCACCGGAACAGTATCCCAGGCCTTACACAATCCGAATGATTTGGCGCCTCCTTGTACTAATGTTTATGTGTTTAAATAAATAAGGGAACACCTGTCGATAAGACGATGTTCAGTAGCCTGTTTCCTAGCATTGGACTCCCTAACGGTGCTCACCCATAATCCCGCTCACCGGATTCGGACCCAGGACCTTCGGTCTCGTGCGCGAACCCTTATCCTCTAGACCACTGAGCCAACATCCATCGGCATTGATGTTTAAATTCAACTGATCCCCGAAATTGCGCCATCGTCCACCATTGTCTTCAGTGAATTACTATCACACAACAGATTTGGTTGTACTCCTGGTTACGTCTTCTCACTAGAACTCCAGGAAGTACCTGTTGAAGTCAATCACTAGTGAGCACATGATGATTGTTATCAGAAAGGGATGGTCTAACTTTAATCGACTCATGGATTCAACAATGAAATTACTACAATCTCCACAAACCCCCCTTTCTGATAATTCAAAGATCACCTAATATATAAGAATTTATGCAAGGCGTGCATGTAATTTTGGTGTTGCTTACTATAATGGATAAATGTTGAAGTATTTTCTTTTTTTTTAAAGTATGTTTTCGGAAATTAGGTTGTGTTGAATGGCTTCTGGACAGACCAATTTATTTATTCTTCGCTTATTAACCCTGACTGTTTTTATATCGTTTATGTGTTAATTGTTTTCACTACTCATTACGTGTATGTAAATTATTTTTGGTCTGAGTCACGCTTGATTAAATCGAGTTGGCTTACTCGCCTTCTCCACTGCGCGTCATTTCTTTTCGTTTCCGTGATTGTTTGTTTAGATCAACCAGTGTACGAAATATACGTACACAAACTTCATTCTCGTATTTGATTTATTCTTAATCCGTTATTCACTAACGCTATTTAAGTCGATAATTATATATGACGGTGGGCAGCAATCATCATTATACGATATAATTGGAGTCAGATACAATGCCACCAAAGGACGTCTGTTTAACACATAGGTTACTTAGTATTACTCTATCAGTATTCATATTTAAGACGTTCAAGTTTCGTAACAATTAAATAACTTTCAAACTACACACTGAGCTATAAACCTAATAATAGTGTACATTTTCAATTCACCATATTCTAACACAATAGCTGTTTATTATCAATGATTTCCACTGTCAATATTGAATCGCTTTAAATGCGAGAATACCGGGTTAAATGAATGACCATTTCATTGAACAGCACTTTATTGTTTTAAGCCAAAATTCACACGATTTCAATCCATTTTCTTTTTCGTTGTTTTTTTGTTGAAAAAAATATCATTTGCTTCAAGGTTGTGATGGTGGTATCCTTTTAATTGTTGGACCGACTGGTAGTGGGAAAACTACCTATTTGTCAGCTTTAACAATATCACTGATAGAATCCGATTGGTATAGATCATTTTCAACGAATAACACAATACAAAAAAAGTTTAATTCTAAATTACATTCAAGTGAACAATTAGTGAATTCAATAGAAAATTCTAAATTTATTTCAAAACAACGTCCAATATTTGCTAAACATCAGATATTCATACATTTCTGTAATGGTTTATCAATATCTGGTTTACCATCGAATAGAAAATTGAATGAAATACTTCAAAATTGGTTAAATCTATTAACTATTCAACTTGATAATATCTGTAATAGTAATGATATTCTTAGAAAATTATTTAATCAAATGAAATCATCTTTTAATGTGAATAAAATCTCTTCTAATATAGATTTAAAGTAAGTAGTATAATTCAATCATGATTTTGATTATTTCATTTTCTGAATTCTCTCTCAGCAATGCTCATCCACTATCCTTCATTGAGGTTTCGAAATCAGGACCTTCTGTCTGACGCGAACCCTTAACCTTTAGACCATTGAGCCTGGATCCAGCTGTTTTAGTGTCCAGCTTCAGTCAATCTACAATACCGAGCGACCATCCTCCATTGTCTTCGGTTAGTAACCACCTTACACCTGACACAATGGAACAATTATCATATGCTAACTAGTGACCAGCTTCCTGAGGCAATAGTTCACATCAATGTTTTCATACTAGATTTTCATATCTCAGTCTTCACTAGTAAGGATAGGAGGTCTATCGACCTGTAATAATCCCTGCAGTTTGTAACACTGTGGGGCTCCGATCTCGCTTTAAATGAATCAACAGAAGGTGCTGATACTACGTTTTCTGGTAGATGATTCTCAAAATAACTGTAAAAAGATTAAGATTATTAAATTAGAGTTCAATGGACTATTGGTTCGAATTCAGTTAGCTTTTGATGTAAAAAATACCCTTTTTACATCATTATAACAATAACGTTTAAAATGGCATGTTATAGTTTCTCATATGAGATTCGGGAAATTCATGTTAAAACTAGCACAAATATATGAATATTATTAATGTATACGGATTCTATTCAATACAATGTGAATCGGTAACGAGTTTAAACTGAGAATACAATATAGAAGTATCTATGGTTCCATGATTTCTCACCTGTTGTTTATGTTCAAATGTAAATACTCCTGAGATTGAACGAATTTAAACAAATTTTGTCTATCCAAATTATAATTTGGTGATTCATTAATTAACTAACTTGTCAAGCATATTATTATTATTATATTTCTACTACAGATTCAATATTCAGTGCTTTGCACGTTTCATACAATTTATTGGTTACTTAAATGATATACAGTTTGCCTTTTTAATTGATGACTGTGATCAGTTGGAACCAATGACCTTAGAATGGTTACCACAAATTTTACCCAAGGTAATTGATTCAGTTATATTGTTTTCATGTTGATCGTGGCTTAAAATTTATCCTAATTTTGTAAGTGTTAGGTTTCATGTGTTGTATTGTAAATATTTCCATACTATTATATCAGCGGAAGCCGATGTTTGTGTTCTAGACGGAACGGGCTGGGCTAGGAGATAGGTTACCTACAGTGGACCAGTAAGCACTCAGAGTTAACTCAAGGCTGTTAGTGCTGGTTTACGCATCATTGGTTTATCACAGGAGCAAGGTCACAAAGCTCGATATTCAGATTAGCGATTTTTTCACGTGATAATTGACAGAGTCATAGGACCTAACGGGTACTGTTTGCTAAGTGATTTCTTTTCCTGTATAATCATAAACGTGTTTTAACCATCGTTATTGCAATGATTGTAACCGAAGATTATTTATTTTTTCTGTTTCATCTTCAGAAGACAAATAAATAGATTGATCAGTTTTGTTTTTCTAAACACTTTCCACAATGAACTTGAGATTAAGTCTTGTTCGATCAGAGTTAACTAGAATTTTGTCACATTTTTTGAAAGTGCATACCTCTGCCGATCGTTCTCAAGCTTACAGCATTTAAAATTTCAAAATTTTAATAAAATTTAATTGTGTAGAATATCAAGATTGATTAAAAAATGTATCGTCTATGTTTTATGTAGTTATATTTCTCATGGCTAAGGAATCTCGGTAGTCTCTTATCAGCTTATCTAAGTCTTCCTGATAACTTGTGCAAACAGCCTTTTATGGTGGATATGACTTTCAGTAGCATAGTTTACTAATTTGCGATACTATATCAAATAATCATTGTCAGAGATTAGTTGTGTGTCAGTCAAAAGCCACCAATTGCGAAGTCCACATTGTATCAATCAAAAATCGTCTAAATAACAAGTGCATGTTATTGACCAAGAGATGGTAGACATATATGTATATGATTTTATTTAGCCCAATAAATTTCCTTCTTCATTCTTAGTGTTCTCACTCAGTAACCGTTTGGGGTTTGGAAATTGGAATTTTGTGTATCGGTATTAGTCTCGGACACAGCGCCATCATAATTAGTCTCGAACGAAACTTTCCACTCATAGTCTCAAAAAAATTAAATGATTGAGGTAATAATTGAAGGATAGCATTAAAGGGATTAAGTCAATTATCCTCCAAACTGAAAATATTACATCTAATTGAATTTGCGAGAAACGACTTTTTTCAATTCATTTTTTGTGTTCAAACTGCATTGAGTGGGAGATGTTTTATCATTATAAAACAATAGACATAAAGGATACCTATACAATAAATTGACATGTGTATTTATTTTCGACTCTAACATCTGATACATGACATGTTGAATGACAATTTTCAGAAAAAAACGACTTGGTTATAAACACTAATAACAAGTCTTTCTAGTATTTTCTCTATGTGTGTATTTGCGCGTGTACGCGTACGTATATATGTATTTTTCTTTGTTCTATGTTATTTATTTCTTAATTATCTAACAATAAAATTTTGACAATCTACAGTTTTTTCGCCAACTCAATGGTCTTAAAACAATGTTGTCACCACAAGTTCTAAAAGTTCTGGATTTGATCCTCAATGTTGTCGTTCATGTGCACTTCTGTTGTGTTGGAGGTTACAGTATTACTTATCAAATAATTGTGGTTTGAATTAGCCTCGTTTACCAGTATCCATAGGGACGGATATATTAAAACTTTGCAACTGTTTCGTGTCGGATATTTGACATGTATCGAGTTTGCAAATAAATACGTAATGGTTATATTTTTAAAACTGCCTGTTACCATATGATTCTGATTAATTTTGAAAATTCTATTTCACAGAATGTTCGATTCGTTTTAACATGTGATTCCAAATCATCAGTTGCTCGTAATTTGTGCAATCGAATTGATTGCCAACTGTTAACTGTATCCGGATTAACTACACACGAACGTGGTGCAGCTGTTCGTAGTTTACTTGGAAAATATGGAAAGGTTTTGAGTGAATCCGGTTTTCGAAATCAGGTATGTTTCAATGATTTATTTTGTCTGAAATCAGTTTTGTTTCAAAACAATAACTGATTTACTCATATGTTCAAGATATTCAACGTTAAATCTTTTATATTTTCGTGGATATAATTCCATTTGGTCGATACGTGATGAGACTATAGTCAATGGATTAACTAATGTATTTAAAGATAGCACGTTATGGGTTTGGACGCAAAATGCATTAATCCAATTGGTTAAATAGCATTTTGACATTAAAATTGATGTCAGTTCGGGATGAAAATCATAATTCCAAATCCTAACATTAACTTTTAACTCTAAATACTAATCTTACTTCCTCACATTTATTAATAACCCCTTTTTGACACTAGTGTAAGAAGATGAATATTCACATAATCATTTTGGTGTTACTCTCATAGGGTCGTTCATAGCTTACAGTTTCGCCATAAATATGGCTTTTCGATTACAAGAAGCTCTATGACATATTTGTAGTTAATAAATAATAAAAATTAATTAAAACACAAGAAATCGTAGCGACAACTACATCGATGTATCACTTAACTAAATACTTATTTTAAAATGCTCAAACTAATTGGTGAAATAATGTCCTCTATCAACTTTCATACTATTCATATCTAAAATGTATGCGACATCATTTTATTATTTCTAATGGACAGAAATTGTCATATGATGAAATGTATTTTTCAGGTAACCTTATAATTAACGAGCTCAACTTTCAATCACTAGCTTTCAAGTCAGAATCTGATTCTATTTTTCTAAAGAAGTCCTAATCAGTTAGGTAGTGTTACAAGGTTTAAAGCGACTAAAGTTTGTCTAAAAAAATTCAAATACACGAGTATTTATATTTGATGGAAAGCTAATTGAATTACATTACGTATATCCAGTTGAACATGAAGAATTTATGCTTTCTTCTATAAATTGCAGTGAATATATGTACCTGAGGTGGATCATTTCAGTGTAGTAATTTTATCTGAGCTAGATGGTGTAATCATTGTGTTTTCATTGGTTTCACTGTAGATTCTAGTGTTTGAATAAAATAAGGTTTACATATTTGTTTTATTAATCTGATTGTTGTTCGTTTTCTCTACTTCACAGTTATCTGTTTTAATTCAAAAACGAGAAGCAAGTATTCCACTTTATTTGAAATTGGCTTGTGATGAATTACGTTTGTACAGTAAATATGAACAGGTTAGTGTCCTATCTTGTACATTTAACTTTTAACTTGACTGTTTTTATATGATATCTTTAGTTTAATATCACAGCCAACTATAGCATTGATGGATAGTTATTCATGGAATTTTCCCAATAAATATTGCTAGTTGCAACATCTTATTCGACCATAGGTGTCTTCGAAGCATTTCTTGTGCTGGAAACACAGAGTAAGCAGTGCCTGGGTTAAGAATAGGGAACTGGGCAAAGATTACAAATCAATTGATAATGTAGTGGATCTTCATCAACTGAAGTGTTTAGGATATGTGTTACGTATGCATAACAACCGCTTACCTCTACGGACAATCTTGTCTGGTGTAGGAGTAAGTTGGAAGAAAGCTAGGGACGGCCACATAAAAATGAGCTACTAGTTCACAAAGTTTTTGAGCGTGGAACTGAGCCATGTCTATAGGTGTAGACTACCGTGTAATTATCATAACCGGTGGTTAGAGACCTTGAACGATATTGCTCCAAATAATTTGAAATGGCGTAGGCACATCCATTCTTTTTCTTCACTCAAATTCTGAGCTTCTGAATTCATAATTTTTTGGTGTTTGGTTCCACCCATTTATATTTTGCTTGAATCGTATCTTCGACACCCAATCTTTTTTATTCCCATATATTCTGTTACTACCTCTAATACTCTGTGATTTGGCCTGGCAGTTTTATCTCTCTGTGCTAACGGGGTATGGCAACTGAAACCGGTGTACATACGTACCAGGTTGTATGTGGTGATTGATTGATTGACTAAAACTTCATTTTAACACATATCAACAAAGTGGCTCTCATCGACCTGATTCATATATACATAATTTTTAATGCCTCTCAAATGATTTATATGTATTCGTACGTTTGTTATTCATAGTTTTAAGTATGGTTATCAATCTAAATTGTTTGATTTCCATTTTTAAATAGTTGGATGCAAAATTAAAACAACTGCCTGATACAATATCCAGTTTAGTGATAGATGTTGTCAAACGAGTTGAATGTAGTTGTGGATCAGATTTAACTCGCATTACACTTGGTCTCCTTACTTGCTGTCGTCAACCATTGTCAACAGAAGAACTACATAATTTAATTGATGAATGGTTAATTGAATCATGGATGGAACAACAGTTCAAAAATGGTTTTACAGATTGTTGGCAAGATTTAAAAGTGCCATTGGACAATCTTGATGATATAATATCAAATGAGAAGATTATTTATCGAATAATCAATGATCAATTCGATAATAAAAATAAGCCTACATTATCTAAAGGACAACCACATTTGCCGTCGCTTTTATTGTATATCCTATTAACTGGTCTTCATCCTTTACTCTCTGGTTTCATGGATGAAAAAGCTGATATTGATGAAATTGACAATGAATTACCGCCTGATGGTTCTATGCAAACAATAAAACAACAAAAGCTTGCTATATGGAATCTTGGATCAAGAGCATTATCATTTAGCAGTCGTGAAATACACAATCTAGTCTATGATATATGTTTTAATCAATCAAAATACATTATAGGTCATGGAAAATATGAATATACTTTCAAAAATAATCAAATGAGGAATTTTAACAAACGTGCAAAATATGATGAAAGTATGCCCGGTGATAAAATTCATTTGAAGACAGTGACTCTTCAAACTATACATAATATTTTAGCTTCAAAATTACGAAACATGAAAGATTTAATTTATCATTTAGTAAGTTCATTATTAGCTTATTTATTATTGGATAAATGGATATTTTATTTGAGACCATGAATTGATCAATATTGGACCACCATTGAAAACCTGGAAGCACTGGACGACCGTTCCGTCCTAGTATAGAACTCCTCAGCAGTGAACGTTCGGGCGCGAGACCGAAAGTCCTGGGTTCGAATTCTGCCTGCGGGACCGTGTATGCACACTTCTGAGGAGTTCCATACTAGAACGAAACGGCCATCCAATGCTTCCAAGTTTTCAATAGTAGTCTAACATTGATCGGTTCATGATCTCAATTCAAAAACTCAACAATCTCCAGTCTTATACTGAGAATGTTTTATTATCATCCCTCCTTCTATATTTAAAATAAATTGAATCATTTTTGATACTTTAATAGAGTTTTCTGTAAACTGATAAATGGTGTATTTTAGAATTATATCTGAGCTGTACTTCTTAATTATCTGTTTTAATTCGAGTATAAATTTTCTCTGTGGGATTATTCAACAACTCTTTAGTCCTTTGTGAGTAATTACAAACATTGTGAACTTAGTCCTCCAGAAACGAGATCGAAGTGAAGAATTAGGTCTTATGCCGAGTAAGATACCCTTCTCAACCAGCGATTGACGTTTCTAACTTCAGTTGATTTTTCACATAATGTAGCTGTCGTTCAGTCTCCATTGATGAAGAATAGCCGCTTCATTGTATACGTAATTTAACTTCGTCGCTATCAATTCAGTTTTTTGGATGTATTAACATTTTGACTAGTTATATCGAATACCCTGTCTGATTGATTGATGACCGAGATGTATGTTTTTCCGTAAAAATTAATTTTAGCATCATGCCGGTCGATTAAATGAAGTTGTTTGTTTACTCAGTAGTCCAGCGTTTCTTATTCATCAGATTGAATCTGGATATGGTTTGACATTGCTAGACGATATGAATAGATACAGTAAGTGCTCTATTTTCCATTTGGTCATTACTGCTAACTGGGTGAAACTGAATTTAAATGTATCTTTATTATTGTTTCGGTTCTAATGGAGGTTTCTTCGGTCTTAGGTGTGTTGAATTGATTGCTAGGGGGACTTAATAGCTTAGTTATTAAACGTTTGACGTTTGAAGAAACAATGGTGGTGGATTCAAATTCCAGTTAAATTATCAAAATTTAGATTCAGTTAAATCAAGATAACATGTTCTAAACAATACTTTCAGTAGATTCTATATTCCATTGTCTATCACCAAACGAAATGTTACTTTAAGATCAATTTCGTCAAGGTTTTATTTCATTTGAAAACTATGTATAAAGTGTTATAAGTAAAAGCAGTTATCTATCAAATCGATCACATGTTGGGTGATTTAGTTATTGTAAAGTCATTGGGGTAGTCGTACATGGCCAATCTTAACCTAGTTGCTTAAAGACATCTTATTCGTTGCTCGCTGCTGGTTATAGTTACTGCACACTTTCAAAGTAAATTGAAATAATTGATTAAGTGGCCATTTGTAGTCAGTAGCCAAGTAGATAACGCTATGGCGTTTGAAGCGAAAGACATTTGATTCGAGTCCTGGAGCAAACGTCAACTTTCGAATGTAGGTAGGTACATCCAGTTGTCGAGTTCCAAATAAGAAGAAATACGAGTCGTGGTTTCCACTACTAATCACCGTCTATCTCTACTTCAAAGTACATCAATCGGTTTTTAATTTTGATTGGTTTTCCTCTTATAATTTCATGATGAAAATGATATTGGTTTTTTTTAGTTTTTATTCATCGACCATTTAGGATTAACAACGTATTTTCCATGAATTGTATGCAATTATATCTATTTCTAAGTAATACAGTATCATTTTTCTCATACGGCCTGCTTGAGCATCTGAGCTACCTGTTCCTGCCATCTAGATATTAAAACAAGTTATCTATTTTTGTTTGTTTTAATATATCATTATGTTTATTGATCGCATACCCTATTCTGCTGAGTCTCTGAAAAGTGTACAACCTTTCGTTGTCAAAGTTACAAAAAACTCAATAAGAGACAATGTGGCTGCTGGCAATATACAACGAAAAGAATGCACATTATTCAGACGTTCATTCACTGAAGTGCTAACATCTAACTGGCGATCACTCGATATTTATCGCCAGGACCGACCAAGAAGAAAGAAACGGAAACTTGTTGAAATACTTTACGCTGAGAATTCTATATTGTACCAAAAATATAATATTGAATAAAGCTAATAATAATAATAATAATAATAATAATAATAATAATAATAATAATTCGTTTGCAGATATTCTAAAGCAGTTGTAGAGTGAAGTGTGGTATCAGGCTGAACTCTGATGAATACGTGTTTAATTTACCCTCTATTGTTAGGATACAATGAAACATCTAATATTTTAAAAGACAAATAAATAAATTATGTATTCTGAAAATAATCACAGGACATATACCAATTCATAGGCATAATCATGTTGATACAGATAACAATGTTATATGTAAATGACAGATGTATGGTTTTAAATTTTTAAAATTCGTGTCATTTGAAAAGTTGTTTTTGGAATGTATGGGTTACAACACTGCGAAATCAGTTGAGAATGGTTAATTCTTCGTAAGGAAACTATGACATCGTATTGATGTAGTAATATTGCACTCAAGGTCATCTCTAGTGCCATCACAGAATAACTGTATTCATTTCCGACTAGAAAAAGAAACAAATCTATAGGTGTGTAGATTAAATTTCCTTAATCGTTATGTACAAAGCTGACGAGTCCCAAATAGGACGAAACGCGCCTCAAACTGGATTCCACTATCCATCTTTCCCTGTAATGCTTGTGACTCAAGGCAATATCGAGGCAATCCGCACAGGATTCACATATGTCAATAAGAGAGTGATCAATTACAGTCCTAAACATAAATGGAAAGTTTCAAATAACCAATACAAAAATGAATTAATAGTTATATGTGCTAAGAAAATGTAAATCACTGATTAAAGGTTATATATTCTCGCTTCTTGAGTGACATGAAATGAAGTGAGTGAGTTAGTTAAAGGAACAGATAAAATTCATGAAAAGAACTTAATTAAATATTTGTATGCTGTTTATCGACGTGTATAAGCCCGAATTATGTTCATTTTAAATATTGTTAGATTAGTGTCTTATCATTAGTACTATCATTATGTATGAAACAAAATAAATAATCATTATCCTTGAGATTTACCACCCTTTTACTTATCATTATGATAATTTTTTCTCAATTAGTTACAACTATTGTACATCATCAATCTGAACCGAACAATATTCCTACTTCATTAGATCTTATGAAGGATAAAATTATAACTATGCAAAGGTTTCTTGCATCAAATTATGAATTTTTAATTAAGTAAGTTGTTGATTTATTCATTTATTTAAAACAATTATTTCACTGAATGATAACAACTCTGAAAATGGTCCCATTGATCATTCTAAGAGAATACCGTTCTTGTGGCCCTATATCTAACTCCATTTGGATCGCATTATAATTGTTATTGAAATATTCATACAGCCAATCTTCGTATATAATCATCGACTGAAATCGCGTTAGTGAATAACGAGCCGAAAATAAGTCAAATACGAGAATGAATTTTGAATACTTATGGTCCACACAACCGTCGATCTGGACAGATAATCAAAGGAGCGAACCGAAGGAAGCGAAGTGGGGAGAACGAAACGAAACGAAACGAAGTGCGGTAGGAAAGGCGTGTGAGCCAACTCCCTTTAACCAAGCGTGAATCGATATTTATAATCAAACGAAAATAAGCTACAGAAATGTGATGAGTAGGATAAGCAATGTACACACATACACTCACATGAAAACAGTCAAGGTTGATAAACGAATAAGTGATCAGGTAAGAATGTGATTCGAGAAGAATGAATAGATTGGTCTTTCATAGTACCAGCGTCTACATCGTTAACAGGGCTTATATTATTATTATTTTTATTATTGGTACGATTATTATTATATGAGGATCAGTTTATGAAGAGTAGTGTTAATCGGCAACAAATCTGCCCTCTGTTTTCGTTTTCTGGTTGTCCACTCGGTTAGAACTAGTAACTTGTGAACTGATAACTGTCAAGGTATTAGTGGTTGTTCATTGATCGTTGTGTCAATTAGTAAGTGTAAAGTCACTAGTCCCACTGACAATGTAGGTGAACTAATCGATAATCGACCTAGAGAGAGTGTGTGTGCGAGATCGTGCAACTGCTCTCCTCTCATTTCATACTACGACTTGAACACGCGAGACCCAATGCAACCCAAATAATCAGTCTGTTTATTTTTAACAACGTAACATTGTTTAGTTTAATTTTCTGTTTATTAGACATCCGTATTCATTCGCTGAATTGGCTATCAATCAAGATATTGACGAATGGATTCATACAATTGGACATGCATGTTTACTTAGTTCAAATTATCAAGAGAAAATCAATGGTGACTCATGTAAAAAAATTTTCCGTATTAAATTAAGTACTAATGACATTCAATCTATCCTACCGAAAATTATTCAACCAATTGCAATTCATAAACTAGTCACACCACTAACTGGTTCCCAAGATATCCCAATCTCAATTGAACTTGATCGAACAGGTAATTTATTAGCTTATGGAACTGAGTCTGGCACAGTTACGGTTGTCGAGGTTCAATCATTTAAGGTAAGTTTTTCGCGCTTTTCATATGTTTTTTTAACAATATAACGAAATAGTTATCATTGGTATCAACCTATATAAATTTAGTTTTTTGAAAGTTTTATTCTATTGAATCTATTTACTTCATCATTAACTCTCTGTTTTACTTTCTGTTTTCTTCTTTTAGATATTATGTTCATTTCTTGGACATAATATGCCAATACTCAGTTTATGTTTTCTTGATGATTTTGCTTCTGACGGTTCTACGATCAGACCATACGGTATGCCGAGTTCACAATTATGGTTAGTTAGTACTAGTCAGGATGCTAGTATACTTATTTGGGATTTATCAAATGTGATAAACAGTGTTACATGTGGAATAGCAACTAGTATCAGTTCCCAAGTGTCTTCTTTAAGTGGATATCATCACAAACCTGTGACTGTATCTGCTTGGCATCCGAAACGTCGTATTTTGGCTACTGGTGGTTTAGATTGTTTAATTTGTTTATGGGAAGTTGGTGAATTGGGATTTGGGTCATATTTTACGTCGAAATCATCTGGTTGTAAAAAAATTAAACCTAGTAAAAAGCTGAATATCAAATCATCGATTAATTCAATTGCTTTTCGTTTACCGAATTATGCATCGGATAGTGAAAAATCTATTCCTTCTGAATGTTTACGTGATGTTATGGCAGTGGGATGTTGGGATGGTTTTGTCCATTTCTACAGTCTCATATCTATGAATTGGATAAAGGTGAGAATTAACATTTATTTTATTATGTTGTGCTACTATATTTAATGGTTCTCAATTACTTTTGTTTGATTTTCTTTACTTTTCTCTCTCTCTTTTGACATTTTATTTTCTAGTCTCTTGCAGTCTCAACATCTGCTATTTGTTCACTGGCTTACTCGCCGAATGGTGGCAGACTGTTAGCTATTCTTGATAGAAAAGGTCAAAGTTTCATTTTAAATGCGAATACATTTGCATATCTAGGCCGGTTAACTGAAAATGTCACTTTTTCATCAATTGATGAATTCGCTTGTCTTGATGAACTGCATCATTTATTACCGAATCAAAAGGGAGTATTATGTTTCTCTGAACCAACTGGACGTTATCTCATTCAAACTGGCGGTGGGTCATCAGTTGGTCGAATCAATGTTTGGAATGCTCATCTCGGTGCACCTGAAGGTAGGTAAATTGTTTCATTAAAAAGTGGCCTGTGATAATTTGCTTTCTTTGTTCAAAAGTATTTGTCAATTAGTTTTTCAAATGTCTTTTATAACAGTGTTTTCTTCTCAAATAATATAAAATTGTCTAACCAATTAGCAGCGAGAGTTTAAACACAAAAGTCAGATCGAAAGAGCTTGATAATAATGACCTCTGTAGTAACGCATAGTAAAAGTGGTGATCGCTGTTTATTAATTATTTTACATTGATTTATGATGTTCACGTTGTATCCGTTACCCATTAAGCGTCTAGTGATCTCATTTATAAATACTTCACTTCCTTTCAAACAAGACTTTCGAGTAATGTATACAGTGAATTCTCCTTTCAATGCTTCCTAATTATTTGCTTCCGTAAATACGTTTGAAAGTCGTTAATTCATTAAGTCATTCCTTCGTCTTATTATCTATTCATTAGGATTCTCTGACATTTTCATTTTGACCCAATAATTATTTATTTGAGGCATAATAGGAGTATCTTTATCATTAGGTAACATAATGAATAGTAGTGTTTGTTGTTATCTTGTTTTTAATGACAAATATACTCGTTAATAAGTCAAACTTCAACAACTGTGTATTCTGTATAACAAATTGTACAGTTAAGAATTGTGTATAAACGTTAAGGATTCATATATATGACTGTTTGTTTTAGATTTCTTTGTACCTTTTGGATTCATTTTCTCTTCAGCACTTGTTCTTTGTAGTTTTTTTTGTGTGTTAGCTGCAGAATATTTGCACCTCTGATTTATAAGAATACTCATGAAAGAATCTGCTCTGCTGGATTGTATCTTATCGAGTTTATTGATCATTGACTAACTAACGAATTATTATGTAATTAAATGAAAATAACCTTGTTTAGATTTTCGTTCGCCTCTTTGACTTATACCGCTTATGTATTTGGTGTTGATACTATTAGTTAACTTAAATGGAAGTTCCTGGTGCAGAGTTGGAACTGGTGAACGAACGGTGAAAAACCGATTCTTTTAATCATTAAACTGCATTTTTTCATCTATTAACCAGGATGTTTATTCTCTCTCTTTGTAGGTCCATGGATTAACGTTAGTCGCAATAAGAGAGAAATGAAACGAACTATATTTGTCACAACCTATACTATTGACATAAGTGGGAAGTATATCATAATTGGATGGAATGATGGTCTCTTCACTATTGTTCTAATGACCAATGGTGATACTGTATTCACTTCGGATAAATTAACTCCTTTGATAAACGATAATTCATCTGTTGAAGCTATCGCTTGTGGTATTTCACCTTATTGCGATGATGCTAATCTTGTCGTTGTTGGCTGGTCATCTGGTGCAGTTAGGGTTAGTTTTTTTGTTTCGATGATGGATTTGACCCTATTTAAGTTGTTTCAAAATTCAGTTTTGACTATTATGTCATATGTGCATGTTGTTCAGGAGTTCAAAGATATATCCTCCGTTGAAGTAACTAGAAGCCCAGAAAACACTAGGAAATAGTTCGTATATAATCAGCACTAAAAGGCTTTTCAAGAAAATCTCTAAAGTGGATAAGCACGTGTCACATTTCGATTGGATAATTATTTAAACCATTGCTATGTTCGGTATGCTTCTGTAGAGCTATAGAAGTGCATGGTCTTGTACAACTCTATAAATTTTCTGTATATAAACTAGCATTAACGTAAAGCTCTTACCAACATTTCCCCACCGTTTTTGTATTGTTTAATTTTACGTGTGGAATTAGTCCAGGTTTATGACGATTAGCTAGGAAGCCAGTCCTAAACGTTCTTGTAGCAGACCTTTATCTAAAAGGGGATAATTTTCTGGTCTAAAAATGGTCACTTAATGTTCAGAATTAGGTGCCAATTGATCTTTGATTATTATGTTTCCAATAATCGTATTATTTAAATGTTCTTTGGCATAATGACGATATTTGTTCTATGGTCTAACTTGAAGTGTGTATAACCTGATGCTTGCACCGTTTTCGTTGAGCTGGTTTTTTTTTTATTATGAAGTTATCACAGAATTTTCATTTGAAAACAACTTCCCTACCTAGTGCTTGTGATTCTGAGATTTTTCCAGATACTCATGAAAGTATCTATTCTTTATTATATAATTGCATATTTCAATAGTTGAGATCATGAGTCAATTGAATCTAGAACACCAGGTTTTCCATGGTGGTTCGCTTGAAAATACACCCAAGAATAAAGATCATCGCACTTCTATGCAGAATGCGATAAGATGCTACAAAGGAAACCCCACTGTCTTTTATTCCAAGTTGTACATGATAATGGTGTCTCAAGCTGTTGAGTTGCACGTTGTCTAATACTCCGACTAGGTGAGATGCTAGTCCTAGAGACCTAAGTATATTTTAATTCACTCTCCAGAAACATTGAAGATCAATTAATTCTTTTACATGGTTGATCGATAGTCATTATAAAAATAGTTAATTGTCAAATTTCCCTCGTTCACTTTAACACTACTCAATTAACATAGACTCGATTAAACATAGAGTATGCCATACTAAACAACCTTTGGTGAGGTTAATAAAGTCCCTTAACGACTATGAATATATTGATTTCACCACCGAATACCATATACATATGCGAACCCTCTCGCAGGACTTGGACCAGGACCTTCGGTCTCGCTTAACCTCTAGAACACTGAGCCAGCATCCGACGTTAATGCCTAACCTTAATCAATCCATGACATTAAGTAATCATCTACTATTGTCTTTAGTTGGTGACTGTCTCGCACCCGACATGGATTTGCTCCACAGATCACGACCTTTCACTAGGACTCAAACAATTGCTTCTTAAAACTAATCATACCATTGAATGCCGACTCAGTGATCTAGAGGCTAAGTGTTCGCACGCAAGACTGAACGTCC